TATGCAAACCTCTAACATAAACAATTTTAATTCTAGTATAATGCAGTTTTTTGTCATTAACATGCATTTTGCTTGAAATTACTTTTGAATGAAACAGAGGTAGTAATAAACTCATATATACATTAATCTTATTTCTTTCTTTTTACAGAGCAAACCAGTGCTACTAGGTGTATATATATATAGAAATTTTATTCCAAACAAAGAGAAAAAACAATACAAGATATAGCATTCAAAGAAACAACATGAGAAGAGAGCGAATAAAAATACAAAGAAAGAGGGCTCAATTAAAGGCCGAGACTTCCGGCTTCCCTTAAGCCAAGCTCTGACCATCCAATTTGATGAAGAGACGCACCAGCCAACCCAAGCCATCATCAAATTAAGGTTGCCACGAACCAGCCGAAGGGCAAGCGAGCCCCAGCCACATCATTGCCCGGCCAAACGAAAAACAACCGGAGAGCTCCAACATATGCAAAAGCATCACTAGGTATATGAGTCCAATTGAATCTAGTTCTTTTGATGTTGTTATTGATAAAGGTATTGATCCTTTTTTTTTTTTTCATTAACATGCTTTGTGCTTTTTTCCACTAAATTTTATGTCCTTACTTTACTGATGTAGTGTAGTTCGTTTTCTTTATCATTTCATGTTCTTCTGATGATTTTGTACGTGTATAAGTTTTTGGAAAGTTATTTGATTTTTTCTACCAAGTATAGTGATTGAGTTGCTTCTATGGAGGTTTGATTTACTGATTGCAGTGTTCGCTCAATGCCTGATAAGTTTGTTTTGCTCTAGTAGGGTTTTAGCTATAGTTGGATCATTTACTAACAAAATTATAGAAGACTCATAAAATTGAATAATAGATATAATCTTAAATTTATATTCGCTATATGATCGATCTTCTAATAGTTGGTGACTCGTTTTTTAGGGCTTCTTACATGGTATTGAGTACATACTTTTTGTATTATATATTTATTGTCAACTAGATTGGTGTTGTAGTTCCAAACAGTTTCTATAAAAGGAAGTTATTCTAAAGAATGATCGTAATATCAGGTTCTAGAGATAGAGTGAAGATTTCAATGCTATATGTAAGTTATTCGCTTTAGTAGGAAGAGAAGGTTGGTTTTTTAAAGTGGATTGTGTCCATCTGTCAAGTCATATTTTTTGGATATCATGTTACTGACGATTGATTGTCTTATTGGCAGAGAGGACAATGTGAACCAACTCGAGCATTATCTCCTCATTGTTTCCAATCTTGTGTCTAATACTCTTTCCTATACTTATATAAGATGACTCTGTAACTCAATCAGTTCATAACTAGATTGATATTTTAGTGTATATAATTCTTAGCATGAAATACTTGGACATAACTATTTCAATGTTATAATTAATTAGTTGGATGGTGATCGGAGGTCACAGTTATGAATTGCGGATGGTACTCTCGGATTTCATCTTAACATCTCCATAGAGTTAATGGTTAAAAGTATTTTTTTTATGTGGTTAATTTGCGGTATGGGGTATTTAGGGGTTCTATGTTATTAGTTTCACGATTCTCCATAAATTTCAGACACACTGGCTAACTCAGTGGAACTTAATGTTTGCAATGCTCTATATACTTAAGAATTTTATCAAGATTATTATAGATTATATCATACAGAAATTAAAGTAAATCTCTCTAAATATTTCGTCCAAACTATCGTTATTCGTTGGCTGAATGTGGTGTGATTTCTAGTTGATAAGAGATGCCAATGCTCAAGTTTTCAAAGAGGCGCTTCATTGGTTGTGCTAAATCGGTATACCTCGATCATGGTAAAACTTACTCGCTATCTATGCTATCTCAACTAACTACGAACTCTTAGCAGTGTTGTTGATATTAATTGGAAAACAAGGAGCATGATTTGAAGGTATTTCACGTTTTTAACTCCCGGATTCACTGGAGACTTACGTTGGACCGAGATCTTAGATATTCTATTATTTATTGTTTGTCATTTCCAATGTTTTCCTATAAGTCTAGTATAGCTGTTGGGTTTGATGAGAATAGACCTACTATATTTCTCCCATTTAACTGCGTGTACATCTTAGTGGTGAACATAGAGGTTGAGGAGTGCGGAATCTCTTTGTGATCATGGGTGGTCATATTTGTATGGAACTTTATTATTAAATTTGTGCAGCCAGGAATTATTTGTCTTTCCTCTCTCAAATGTTATCATTCAATAGAGATTTATTTTTTCCAATATATCGACTTGGACATAGTATATGCTAATTATTTCCATTTCTCCATATGCAATGGTTAGGATGGATGTGTTCATACATGTCAATAAGGAATATCTTTGAAAGGGTTTTGAGAAAGCTATGCGCAATGCTTTGCCTTTGAATTGGATTCGCGTATGAATTATAAGAAAGGAGGTTGTGGAATTATGATGTGCCGTTTTTTGTGTATTTGCAGATTGCTGCAACGGTCCTTTATGCGCTCATGATTCGATGTTGTGTTGTCAAATTTAATTGGTAGTGCATAGTTTCTTAGGTAGGCATTTTAGGAGTGCGGATTTGTGTGCTGGAGTAGGTTATCTATCAAAAGTAGACTTCACGTTTAGTTTAATATATACTTTCTTTATTTGTGCTTTTAAATGATTGGAAGATATGGGCTAAGGTTAATTATGTATTTGCAACCATAATGCGTATTTATTTGTTAAGAGCTACTCAATATATCTATTGTAGGAACTGGGGTCTAGTCTTCTGACTTTCCGGAAGAGAACAAGTATTATAGTGCATTTTCTTTAAAAACATCTAAATTGAAGGATAATTGGGCCTCAATTGGTAATCCATTTTTAAGTGTTTTTCAAAATTAATGGTGAAGGGAGAGGTAGATTCTTATAATATAAAGTTCCTAGTAAATTAATGATAGTGATCAATGAGCCTTGTTTTGTAATGGATATCCAATATAACTCAGTTACTGATGACAATGAATAGATAAGTGTTTTTTGAATGCTGGGGAAAAGGGATTTACAGGGAATCTTTTTTAATTATTTTGGTATTAAAATTTTGTTAAAATAATATGACACTTTTATACCAAATATTTAAATTTCCGAGTGTAAGTGGTATATTAACAATCGATATATAATTGGAATAAAACCAATTCTGTTTCCAAGAAGATTTCTAGGTCAGCCTTTTTGAGATTAAAGCGGATGAATTCCTAACTTTCATGTTTATTCCCTATTCTCACAGAAACATAGAAATTTTTTATTTTCATTTAGAAAAAAAAAACTCTCCTCACCACTTTAGGATTATGAGTCGACAACAACTTAGTATGAAGTCAATTTTTAAAATTTAACAACAAACTCATTTCGTACATTCGGGTTGATATTCAAAAGCATTTATCGATATGTTTTTTTAAATTTCTACCCTTGGTTATATTTCATATAGATCTAACAATGTTTTTACATCAATATACTATTCATAATAAACACCATTTTTTTTGACATTCTGTGAATGGTTATGTTAATATTTAATAATTTGTATACTTTTCTAATCACATAATCCT